CTCTTTGTACTCTCGTTGATAAAAGAAGTGAATAGTTGCTTCCTTGTTATTGCAGTGCACCAACAGAAACACAGATAGAAAATTTTGTATTTTAAACTCTCTGAAAATTGTCTTTGAGCAGCAAGATTGTTCAAACAGTAGGGACTCGTGGTATATCCTCTGATTTAGGAATACAGACAATCTTATCAAAGTGGTGTTGAAAGGCAGGCAGATGTTTGATTGCTTCAAGTGCGTGAGTTCCATTTTGTGTTTTTTGTGCTTTCCTTAGGCTGTTAAATGTTCAGATCAGTATTCTGTGGCTGATCTGTGCACAAATTCTTTGTGCATTTTTAATGACTTACTGCTAAAATATGTGATCAAAGATAAATCAGACCTATTACAAAGGAATCAAAAACTGGAATTATGTTTAAATATTTTTCTGACTAATATTTATAGACACTTGCTACTTGTAAGGCTCTCAGTAAATCAGTGTTCTCTCCAGACATTTATATTCAAAATATATTAATGGAAGGTGTAAAAGGCAGATACACTTTTCAGAATTTAGCGACAAAATGTTAAGAAAAAAAAATTTACAAAGGCTTCAGTAGGAAGATCTGACCTGATTTCTTCCCATTTAAAATCTTAAAGGCTGCTGTGTTGGAAAAAATAAAGCAAATACTGTTTAAAATACAGTGGAAGGTTTTATGTCCCAGGTTTTGACAAATAAGCTTTGTAACGTTCAACACTGCAGCTCACAACATTCAGGCTCATGGCTAAGAAAGTATGGAAGCAGGTATCTAAGGACCATATGATGATGAGATTCTGATTTCCCGGTTAGAATTTGAAATCTGTGATGTGGAGCACTGGTACAGTGAAGCTGATTGGCAGGAAACCAGGGTATACCTTAGACATTCATATGACCCTTACTTACATTTATCAGAAAATAAATCCCATATCCCTTTCTGCAGTTTTCTCTTAGGAAGATGCTCTTACATGTAGTAGACTAGCAATTAATTAGCTGATGAGTCAAAAAAATAGGAGGCCTTGTTCCTGGGTCCTTCTCAACCTGGGGGATTTCAAGTCCACATTTTTCTCTTCCCAGTGGTTCATGTGTGTAGGGGATCTAATCACCAGACTGCAGATTCACACTTCTTGCCCACTGTCTGGAGTCCATCAAGGTGCATTTCTGACTGTGTTGTAGAATCATCAAATGGTTAAGATTAGAAAAGACCATGGAGTGCAAGCATTAACCCAGCACTGCTGTGCTCACCTCAGAACAGTGTCCCCAAGTGCCATGGTCACCTTCCTCTCTGGGAGGATATGGCAGTCCTGTACAAAGTATCCTGCAGGCTGATGTGTCAGGTGTGTTCTCTTGAAACACTAATTCAACTCTTCTTGCTTTTCCAGGAAAGCAAATTCTGCGACTGGAGAGCAGGAGAATTAACATCTAATCAATCTGGTTTTATTCTAATTTAATATTTTTAGCAGTTGTTTGAGTACTGTTTTCTACTTAATGTTTGACCAGAAAACTTTTTAACAACTTGAGATACTGTAATAAGGAAATTGAATAGCAATGGCCATCATTGATCAGATCACTTCTGGGCACGAAATTTGAGTTGTTTCAATTAATGGCTTTTTTTTTTTTTTTTTTTTTTTTTTCTTTTTTTGAAAAACCCCTCATGTATGTATCTGTTTTTTCAAAGACATTGTGCTTTTGAATCCTGATACAGGAAAACAAACAGAATTTATAGCTATTATGGTTTAAAATAAATAAAATATATTTTCCATATTCGCAGGCTATACTGGACAACCCAACTGTGAATTTACTTGCAAAGTTAAATAATTTCTTTTTTGTTTCTAAGTGGTGGCATAAAACATATGCAAAAAAATTCCTTCTCTGCTCAATTAAAGAAGGCAAGATTACAGTGAATAGGAGACTTTAGAAGAGGGCAACCTAGCTGTGAAATTTACTGTTAAAATTCAAAAGAATTCAAAATTTTTTCTTTGCATTTTTCTATGTTGTTTTGGTTCCTTGTGTGATAACCCTCAAAAGTTAGGCTTCTACCTGAGCAAAGTTGTAATAGAATGAAGTTTAGTCAACTTTGGCTCTTAATGAGTTTCTTAGCTTGGAAGTGAAAAAAGAATGGGAAGAACTTTCCTCAATGAAAAAAATTAAAATAATCGTGCTAACTGCTGATTTTAGCTGCACCCTGCTAAATCTTCTGTGTTTCTCAGTGTGAGACAATGGTTTCCTTCATGCATGAATGACTTCTTTAAAAATACAATTCCTGGGTGCTATGAAGCAGAATTGATTAAAAAAACTTGTTGAACACTGGTATGATTGCACACTTTTGAGGTTGACTATAAAGCAGAAAGAAACAATGTGTGGCCCAGACAGCCATTATGGGATCGCTTTTAGCGTCCTGTATTGTGTGGAATATGAAGAAAGGGCAGCCCATACATCTGATCTGCAAGACATCTTGCCTTAAAGTGGTTTAGTTTTCATAGCTGGCACAGTTCACAGCAAGGAGCACATGTGCTGTGTCTGAGATACCTCAACACCGCAACTTCTGCCAAATTTCACTCATGTTTCCAAATGTAATATTATGCTTATGTCCTATCCTGTCTCTGGCACTGAATTAAAACAGCACCTGTTAATATTAAGAATAAATGAAGTTACTGTAGTGTTGAGGATAAAGAGGTTTTGGTGAAAGAAAATTGGATATGAGATTTAGATTTCCTGCCTTATTAAATATTTCAAGTGGTGGTGTTCTACTTCAGTTTTATTTAGAAGTCAGAAAGCAGTATTGCAATGTTAACGCACAGCTTTTTACTTAAATCTTCTTTCATGAGCTAGTATTTGCTGATATTCAGTTCAAATGCTTTAAGGAATAAAGAGAAACACTCTGGAACATCATTTTTGTTTTTGAGATAAGTGGGTTTTTTTCAGAAGCTTGTTATTCCTCTGCATGTTGTTTGATTCTCATTTGCATTTAAATCAGCTTTAGCAGAGTTGTGTAGCTTATTGGTGTTCCTCTTCAGTCTGACAGTTGAAGAATAGCAGATGTAAATATGAACATTAGGCTAAGGCTTGCATTGTGCAGCCAACAATCATTTGTTCTGGTACTCTGGAGTAGAAAGTTAAAACACAGATTTCTTTCTGCTTCAACCAGTGAACATTCCTGAGTTTTCTGGGTTCAGTTCTGCTTTTGAGAAGCACTGAAATTGCTAAAAGCAGCGAGCACTTGCACTGTGGATGTTACTGCTATGGATAAAGAAGGATAATGCTATTTATGCACAGTTGTTTCTCTAATACTGTAGCTGTCCTTCAGGATACTGTCTCAAAATAATGTGTTTTCTTTAAGACTGAAGAATATATTGCAAAAAAGATCTGGACTCTGTAACTGAATTTCTCTTAAGAGTGGTGGACAAAGGATCGTGATGATCTAAGCACTATTCTATTTCTAATGGGAATAAAGAAGTGGGGGCAAGAAGATGATAGTACCTTTATTAGGATATCAGCAAGGAGATGACTGGGGAAGAGAATTCTCTCTATTGCTGCTCAGAATGAACATTGTGTGGCTCCTTGGATGGGAAAGCAGGAGTAGCTGATTGTCAAGGACCAAGAGATCCAACGGGATCTAAAGAAGTTGGGCAATGTCTACCTTGCACTGAGGAATATGATTAACATGATAGATTTTCCAAAAGACTAATTGTGGAGGAAGTTATTTGGGGAGAGGTGGTTGTGTTCCTTGGTATGAAAGTTCAATACTTTCATCTCCTAATATCCATAATGAAAAGCACTGAAAAAACAATCAGAAAAGGAGCAGGAGGACTAGTGATTTTAGTTGAAGAACATTGTTTTAGAAGTTCTTGTGAATGTCCATTGCTTTCAATGGAATTAATAGAATAAAAACCCCCCTGCCTTCCAGATTTTATGTGATGATAGAAGTACCTTTCTTGTCTTCTTGGAAAACCAGGCTACTTCAGTTTGATATACTTGTGCCTGGGTGTGTCTTGTTCAAATGTCAGTCCTAACTTAGAAGCTACAGAGGCATCCTCCTCAATAAATCATTACTTGAAGGCAACACGCGCTAGGATTTTTTAAAAAATTGAAGTGGATATTTTTGGGCAGATGCTATTTTAGGATTATTTTAATGGAAGGGCTTCCTCTTCCTATTTTTTTCAGTTGCTCACTCACTGGTGACAATAGAAGATGAAAGCTTTGCATTAGTTGATCTGTTGGGGTACAGAAAAAAAGTAATGGATTGTAGTTTGTTTATAGGGAAGTAAGACCCCTTGTTTTTTATTTACCATGTTGTTAAGCTCAATAAAAAGCTAAGAAAATAGTTTTAGTAATAATAATATTAAAAATTATATTTTTGTGCACAAACCTAAGTTTAGTTTAGAAAGGCTAAATTATTTGTGTGTTGTTTTCCTGGATCATCACTAGCAGTTTCCCCTTTTTATGCATTTGGGAATGCAGATTGCACAATCGTTTGTTCAAGACTGGATTTGATACATTGCCACTTTAATTATTCTGACATAGTGTCACTGGTTAAAACCATGATTGTATCAATTACAAAAATGTAAATTTTTCATTGCTTTAATTGTCTGAATATATACTGTGAAATTTTAAAAATAGTGTTAAAATTGCACTGGACAGTATTTTGTTAGTATCATTTCTGGTTTTCAAGTAAATTATTAGAAACACTTATAATTTTAAAAAGCTTGCTTTCTTGAATAATACCATTCATAACATAATGTCATTAGCATTTCTAAAATTCCTTTTATATCCTTTAATGATTTTCTGTGAATGATACCATTGTTCTGTCACTCACTTGAGCTCATAAACAGGAAAATATTTTACAAATTCAGCATTATGTCAAGGCTATATTTAAGTCTTAGTCATTTCAAATCCTGTAGTACTGTCTTTAGGATATATTCTTTCTCATGGAGTAATACGATGTAATCTCTTTTGTCAATTGCTGTGATGTTTTCTCTGTTCTTGTAATACACAGGATCTGGTTGTACTTCTCTCTGAAACAGAATTCTGCTGCAATGAATTTCCAGGTGTGTTGATAGTATCATGTCATTCTTTTCTTATTCTGCAGAATCCCTTTTTCTAGGTGAGTTCTATACAGGGTACCAGGCCTCTCTTCAAAAGTCCTTTCCTTGTCTGCTCTTGTCATTAAGTCGCCAGTTATCTGCTGATTCATGGGGTCCACCTCCAGTCAGCCCTTAGTGACTGCCTTCAGATCTTCCTGAGAGCTTCTTGAAGCTTTCTCTCACAGAGTATCCTAAACCAGAAGGCAGCCTGACCCCAGCTTGGTGGAGAATTGTCTTCTGCAGTGGGGTGCTGAGGGGAGAGCTCTGCCTCTGGTGTGTGCAGCAGTCCCTCAGTCAGGGCACGGAGCTGGCTGGCTGTGTTCTGACTGCTCACAGGTGCTTTGGATTCCAAGTAACCTAACCCTGCACTGTAACTTGCAGACATACCTTAGTTTCATAGCTGCAGTTAAAACTCTTAGCTTTTTACAGTGTGGTGTGTAGTTTGTTAGCCTTGAATTAGATCTTAATCACAAGTAAAATTCTGAAGGAGCTGTCTTGAAACTGTTGACCAAATACACAGTGCTTCCAACCTAAATCTATTGTATTGGGATCTAAGTCACAAGCTGCAGTTTTAGTTACAGATGCTAAGGACTTAAGTACTCAAACGTTTTCTTACACAGAACGTGCTTTAGCAATACAAACAAATTCCAAATTGAAATTAACTTGCTTTTTTCAAGTAGGCAGGTTGATTGGTGTACAGAAAATAAGCAAAGACATGATTTTACTAGACACTATGATTATATAAAGCCCAAGAAACAAAACAAAAACCAAACACAGGAATATTCTAATTTGCTTTTGAACAGTCTCATAAAAATATCAGATACTTAATTTTTTTAGTGGGTATAAACTTCTACCAATTTGTACAGGAATTTGTACAGGAATTTATACAGGAATTGGTCACAAATGTAACATAGGTAAATGTGTAGGACAGATGAAAGAAGATGCATCTAGAAAAAGGCAGAAATAGTCATGTTTCTGTCTGTGTTAATAAATTGGCAAAGACAAGACATTCCAGTTCAAAACAGAATGAAAATGGATCCGAGTGCATGTGTAGACTTATTTTGTATCACAATGTCTGTTTATTAATAGAATTCAGAGAAAAGAAGGCAAACTCAATTTGCTAATTTCACTGAATAGACTTATTCAGCTTCCTATTGAGTAATTGCAGAAGGCATTTTTAGTTTTAATGAGTATTCTGAATTCTTTATCTCTTTGTTTTCTCTTGTTTTCCATTAGAAATTTGCTGTCTTAAATGTGTTCCTTAGCCCTTTTGTCAATATTGTATTTATTTCTAGATCAGTTAAGAAGTGACTGTAATGTGCAACTTAAAATGACTAGCTTAAGGAGGTATTGAATTGAAGGACTTCGTGACAGAGTTGTGGTTTAATATGTGAACATAGTGAAATCTGCTTTCCTAATTGGGAAAAGCATTATAGAAACATTATAGAAAGTGTCAAATGGTAGCTCTAGGGTTTTAAGTTAGATAGATCTTATGTGTGTCAGACCCGGTTTGTTTCAAAATAACAACTTCCTTGTTATGACATGAATAAAAAGTACTCTGGAGAGACTGCTTTCTGTAAAAAATGATCTTGGCTGTTACATTCTAGAGCGTTCACAAGCGACAGGTAAAGATCTTGCATTTCTTGGCTATATTCAACAGATATGTTAGGGAAAACAGACTTAGACATTTATGCTTAAACATAATACTGAAGTACTGGGGGTTTATATGTTTATTTAATGGCTAATGACTGATTGTTACAACCTGTATGTTGTTACTCACATCACAGGTTTTCTGCTTGTTATCACTTTCATATGTAGTTTGGAGTTCCTGCACTTGGCACTGTGATGCCATCTCTCATCCTGCTGTAAATGGGTTTGTTTCACTTTTGTCTGGGATAAGCCCAGAAAAGTGTGTATATGCACGTCTTAGACTTTAAAAACTGTTTTCTTTTAACATAGGTTACTACAAAAGCTTGTTTTGGAATTGCACTACAAAGAAAATGTCCACTTTTGAGGTTTGGGTGACAGGAAAATGCTTGCCTTAAAAAATTGAGAGACCAGGATAACTCTGCAGCAGAGTAGTGAGGCTGTGGATTCATTGTTTTTCCCTAATCAAGAAAGACAAAAGAGATATGCAGCCTTTTGTAATCAGAAGTAGAGCATGTGTCCCTGTTCCATCACCCTCTGCAAGTCTCATGACAAGATGGGTGTTGAATTCTGTGACCCAGTTATTGTGTATGGGCAGGTTGGGCCCTGCCTCCTACATTCTTGCTGAAATGTTCTGATGTTTCTGAGTTTCTGTACAGACAGAATAGAAATAAAAAAATCTACAGCCTGTTTCCAAAATCCTGGGCAAAATTACTTCCCACCAAAATTTTGTAAATGTTTGAATATTTGCCTCTTTTCTTCTGGGATATTTAGCCACTGTAATAAAAAGAGAGGTAATGGGAACATAATGAAATGGCTTCTCTGTTTAAAAAAAAAGTAAAGAAAGTAATTTTGGTTTGAAATAGAGGTGCTTGAAGGAGGATATGAAAGATGCTGGGAGGAAATAAATAGAAAATTATTTATTCATGTTTTTGAGAATTTGGGGTACTGAACACAAAAAAATGCTTTACACTTGGCCTAAGCTATAGAACTTATTTTCACAACATATTGTGAAAAGTCAAAACAAAAAAATGGGTTCAACAAGGAGCTTTGCAAGTCTATCAGTATTAGTGGTGATAGTTCAGAGTCAGTCTGACCCAGGTGGATGCTGTGCTGCTGATTGGTGAGGGAGGAAATAATTTTTACTTGTGTCATCTTCAGTGTGTAGTAGATACTCTGTGCTGGCTCTCCTGAAGATACAATTCTGTACTTTGTGGACTGTCACTCTGGCTGAGTATTGAGTGGTTTGGGGTGCTTCCTTAGTTACTTTTTTATCTCCTATTCAAAGTTGGCTGTTGAGCAGGAAGGTGGTGCCTTGCCTTTCTCGCAGTGGGGGAATGTGAATTGTTGGGCTTGGGTCACCAGATTATCGGTGACTTGCTTTCATACTGAGGACACAAAGCTGACTTTCCATCTGTGTGCACATTATTCACAAGTGGATCAAAAAGCAGCAGAACAGAGACAGAGTAGTGGTGGCAGTGATTGCAGGTACATTCTGCATTAGTAGAAACGTAAGTGACGGAAAGTAAGTGCTAGGTATTGATAATTTTATACTAGAATACAAGTTAGTTACTTTCCCAGGTGTTTTGTTTTTCTAAACTTCCTTTTCCATAAAGTATCACATCAAAGTGGTCACAGAACAATTGAGATCAAGCATTTCCATGTGGAGTGGAATGGAATGGAATGGTCTCTCATCCCTTGGTTCCAATTTGTTCTGGTAGGACTGAAAAGACAGCTGTAGAGTGTGCAAGAGGGTGACAAGGTTTTGTTCAGCGTTTCTTCTGTAAAAACCATGTGATGGGAATTGGGACAGGTGATTCCCAGGCAAGACCAGTAATTGTTGTTTTATTAGCTGCAGTTCAGATTTGATGATGGCTAACAAGTGCCTAAAGAGACAGTGTGGGCATCTTACACTCACTAAAATAATATTTTAAGTATTGTTTTAGAAATTTAAATGCCTACAGGCCAATTACAGCACCACTGATTTGTGACAAATGAGTTTGACCTCTGAATGACAGCAGTCTCTCTATATAACTAAAAACTACATAGATGAAAACATTTAGAAAGTGGAGAGAAGTCTGGTGGGGTCATAAGGTGAGGTGTACCTTTTTAGGATCTCAGCAGAACATTTTATGGTGCTTCTATCAACTGCTAAAGCAAAGTTTGTTATATCATTACCTGAATTACCTGAAACACAGAAGACTGGGACAGCTGCTTCTAAGGTCCTAAGGAAAGTTATAGCCCTCAAAATACTGGAATATGCCTGTGTGAAAGACAAATAGAGCAAAGGAGTGTTTTAATGCCTGGCATAGGCAGTGAGAAGGAAAAAGGGAGACGACTTTTCAATAATCAATGTCTGTATCTGTTTTATAAGGGTGATTGTTCAATATGTAAAATGTTTGGTTTTGACTGTACTTGAGGTTGTCCTGTGATATAAACATTGTGTTGACAGAAAAATCTAGTTCTTTTTGAGTAGCCTGTCCTCAATGCAATGTTGGAATCTTGTATTGCAGCTGAATTCTGAACTTCCTGATTCAGCAGAAGGGTTGATGGCTTACTGGGGAGATACTTGATTCATAATAAAACAACCATCAGTTCTGTTTTCATTCTACTCTATCTTCAAAATGAAATAAAAATGCAGTGGAATATATAAATGTGGTTGAATGTAGGAGCAAAAGACATACAGTGATTCTGTTCCTACCAGATATTTCTGGTAACTGGGAAGTGTTATAATTTTATTTTTTGGGGGGGGGGGGGAAAGTGTCAAGATATTTGTTCTTTTTTGTGATGTTTTTAAATAATTATTTAAAACAGAAAAAATGTAATATAGAATTACTTTAAATAGGAACATGATACAATTATTTTAGGAATAGTTTGTCAGGAGATACATAGATGTTTCTGTCCCATGTTTTTGTAAGTAATGTAGGATGTAAACTGATCTGTCGTCTTGTGAAACTAGAAGTGATGCCTTTTACTTCTCCTGCAGTTAACTTAGAAAGCATTTTAAGAATATGAATAATGTCACTCTTACTATTTCTTACTACTTCACTATTGTCAGAGAGTCTGACAATAGTTTTTTACTTAATATCAGCAATTGACTGGAAAACAAAGTGCTTTCATATGCATCTTTGAAGCCAGGAGTGAACAAGTGTGTTTCCTTCCTGTTTAGAGAATTCAGGCTTTCACTGTTGATATTAAAATACAGAAACTATAGCTTGAATGGAAACTCAGAACAGATCATGGTTTTGTCTCTCTATTACACTATGATAATTAAAAAAAATAAGTATTTCTTGTTTAGATCATGTGAATTTGCTGAA